ATACAAGTAAAAACATGAGGGAAAAATGGACCAGAAAGAAAGAAGGGAGGAGAAGCCAACAAAAAGAAAGGGACTATAGGAAATAATGTTAAGAGCTCAAGTATGGGATTTGGGGTATGGTGGACTAGGGAAATGAGAAAGTAAGAGTTTAATCTGAAAAAAAAAGGTTATATTTGCATAAATTGTAATAGCCAGAACTAGCTGATTAAGACATCTCTTCTAGTAAAGTAATAAAATCAACTTTTCTTCCTCCTGCTCATGGCCCAGTACACGTTGTTTTCTAACCTTGGCTCCATCTGCAGCAGCATCCCTATGTTTTTATGAACAGGAATGCTCGAGCTCAACCCTGCAAGCATTCCATCAGCATCCCTGAGAGTGGAGCCCTAGCATCAGTATTTTTAAAGGCTCCCCAGGTGACTGTAAAGTGCAGTCAGTGCTGAGAGCCACTGAGCTCATACAAGGTCTCCAGCTCATTTCCTGCCTTCATTTCTGCCCTCTGAACCCCTCCCCCTTGTTACTGTTATAGGAGCATTAGGCCATTTAGTTCTTGCTGTGTTTTATGCTGGGGTTTGATGGAGTCTAGCACATTCTGTGAGTTCAGTATCTTCCATCCCTTATTAACTGTCATAGCTTAGTCGTGGCCATATCCAGTATATTGTCCTAACTCTCACTAGAAGAAGAAAAATAGTGATTTGGGACATTATTGGGTGGAAATAATAAACCCAGTTTTATGAACCTCATGGAACCCTGGTGTGGCTGCGTGACGGTTTGTCATTGTTTAGCTTGATTTTATTTTTGCTTTAATAACCTAATTCAAGGCCTTGCATGGTGACTCAGGCCTGTAATTGTAACGCTGGGACAGGAGCAAGAGGAAGATCTCTGAGAGTTCCAGGTCAGCCCGGGCTACAGAGTGAGTTCCAGCCCAGGTTACAGGAGAAGACCCTGCCTCAAACATTCAAAGAGTAGGTTCAGTAACAATAACCAACTTGAATAGCCGCTTTGGGATTAAATCTAAATGAAGAGGCAAGTAGTTAAAACAGCCATCGGCTCTCAGAGCATTTCACTTGAATCATCTTTCAGAAGTCGAGTTAGTCACCTGTTAAATAAAGAATTCGGAAAGTGAGTTGTACTGCCTGACTTTTCTTCAACAATTAACTTTGAAACCTTCCTCGATTTCTTTCATTCCTCTAAAATTGATTGAACATCTATGGCATGTTAGATACTTTTTCTGATAGGAGGATGCCAGCGGGGTTCGGGGAGGGCTTTCTTTTCTCAAGGAGGAAAAGATAAGCGCAGTAAAATTCAGTGGTTCTGAGTTTTAGTTTGGTTGTGTGAAAGGCACTTGGCGTTTTCTATCTTCGATACAGTTGCATTTCATTAGCACTGTTTTAACATCCATTCATGTATTGTATTTTTTAATAACTAATGGCTTCATGTGATACAAGACTAAATAAGACCATTTATCTTCTCATTCTTCCCTCCATCTGCCTAATTTCCCACTCCCACCCACAGAAGTCACTGGTGGTTTCTTTCTTGAGTATCTTCCTGGATTATTTTTGTGACTACTCAAATTCAACTATAAATATATTCTTATTTCTCCATTTTTTGGCTATTCTGCATCTGTTTTTCATTTAGAAATATTGGGGAATATCCTTCTATCTCAATAGACTCTGCTTTGCTCTACAATTAAGTCTTACATATGCAAGTATCATCACTTATTTATCTTACTGCTACTGATGGTAACTTAGGGTGTGTCAATCTAAAAAAGATGTATTTATCCTATTTTATGACTATTTTGACTGCATTATTTATGTGCACCACATACATGCCTGGTGCCTGCAGAGGCCAGAAGAGGGTGTGGGATCCCATAGAACAAGTTAAAGATGGTTTTGAGTCACCATGTGGGTGCTGAGAACCCAACCTAGGTCCTCTGGAAAAGCAGCCAGTGTCATCTAGGCTGTCTCTCCAGTCCCTTCCAATATTTTACTGCAAAACTGCATGGTCAGCCTCTGCTTTGTCCGTTTGTCACACACACATTAAGTTCTTCTGAAAGCTACGCCTCTGTGAGTGGAGTTTAGTTGTTGTGCCTTCTAAAGATCTTGTGATAATATTTCCAGTGGTTTCCTTCAGGTGAATTCCAGGCAGGCAATTCCTACGCTGAACTACAGAAATATTTTAAGAACATTTTAGGTATTTACTGATTCATTGCTGATTAGAAAGTACTGTCTTATTTGGGGTTTATATTGCTGTGAAGAGACACCATGACCATGGCAACTTTTATAAAGGAAAATATTTAATTGGGGCTGGCTTACAGTTTCACAACTTTAGTCCATTATCTTCATGACAGCATGCAGGCAGACACGCTGCTGGAGAAGGAGCTGAGAGTTCTACATCTGGATCTGTAGATAACCTGAAGTGAACTGTGTCCCACACTGGGCATAGCTTGAGCATATGAGACCTCAGAGCCCAACCCACTGTGACACACTTCCTCCAACAAGGCTACACCTACTCCACCAAGCCACACCTCCTAATAGTGCCACTCTCTATGGGAGTCTATGGGGGCCATTCCTATTCAAACCACAATTGCCAATTTATCTTCCCACTTGCATGGTATACATTATCCATCCACTGAGAATTGCCAGTACTGGAAAACATACCATCCTGCCATCAAATAACCTATACTCACATTAGAAGTCGACAATTATAGACCCAATGTTATAGGTGCAGTTGATAGGTGTCAGTCTGAACTTTACCATGAATTTATTAGAAAATACATAATTAGGGACTTGTTCATTCATTTCTTGTGCAATTTTGAAGAGTTTTAATTTTTCTGTTTGATTTATAACTAATATATTTAACAATAATAATGACTTACGTTTATTAAGCCCTTACGTGGTCCAGGTGTTGGGCAATGCATTCTTTTTTTTTTTTTTGGTTTTTCGAGACAGGGTTTCTCTGTGTAGCTTTGCGCCTTTCCTGGAACTCACTTGGTAGCTCAGGCTGGCCTCGAACTCACAGAGATCCGCCGGCCTCTGCCTCCCGAGTGCTGGGATTAAAGGCGTGCGCCACCACCGCCCGGCAAGGGCAATGCATTCTTAATGGATCCTGTAGATTGTGAACTTTTATTTGAGCTTAGTGTGTGTCTTTTATTCTAAGATCATTTCCTTAAAAAATTTAAAGAAACTTTTAAAATGTAATAAAATAATAGTTTTGTTTGAGTTCATGTGCAAGAAAATATCTAAGTCACTCTAAAATCAGATTAGCATTCTCATTCCCATAGGCATTCTAATAATTTTTTAAACTGAAATTAATCACTTAGTATTTCCAAACAGCTACCTACAGTGTGACATTTACAAAAACAGTTGGAGCGAGAACTGTAGTTCAGTCATGGACCACTTGCCTGGTATGAATAAAGCCCTGGGTTCTATCTCCAACATCACCAAGAAAAGGAGCGAGAAGAAGGGAGGAAAGGAGAAACAGAAAAATCAACTCTACCCTTGTGTTGAGATAAATAGCCCAGGATGACTTGAAATTCACTATGTAGTCCAGGCTGGCCTTGAACTCACAGCAGCCTTCCAAGTGCTGGAATCACAGGAATGGGCCACCATAGTGGCTCATATGTTCATTTTAAAACTATTTCCACAACATAGGTAACTAACAAAAAGTAAGTGGGGAATTAAGGTTACTCACAATTCTCTCAACCTGAGACAATCTCTGCCAACATCTAGAGCAAATCTCTGAGTTTGATATATGTAATTACATCAACACACATGATATTGTGGGGTTTTGTTTGTTTTTACAAAAATATCATTATCATACCATACATACACACACATATACATACCTGTTTTTTGTTCCTTGGCGGCTCCATAGGGTGACTGGCTATCCCTTCTGGCAGTAACTCTGTGGCACTTCCTCAGGGTCATCTGTGAAAGGGAAGAGGACTCTAGTGATGTCACTTCCTCTTTCTGGTGCACAGAAGCATCCCGTAGACTCCTCACCTGCCCCAGTTCATCAGCTCCGAGTTTCCTGAAGCAGTGTAAGCCTGCTGTTCCTCAGAGACTTCGTTTCTTCAAGGGCGTCCCTGCCTATGAGGAGAGACTAACAAGGGAGCCAATGATTTACCTGCCTTGAGGCAGACAACTCAAAGGGAAACAGACCATTTTCTGAGCCAGGCATGGTTTGAAATATTCCTGTGGACTGGCTTTCTTCACAGCTTCCTTTCCAAGCTCCTGTCTTCCCACTAACCCATCCTTCCATGCTCCACCCTTGGCAACATTTTTAACTTATGCCCCTATTTATTTCTTAACAAAAATGAGAACATAATTTGCTCTCCCACAGAGCTAACCTTAGATTTATTCTAGCTGCTAGGTGGGGATGGACGAGTCTATCAATTATGAATGTCTTCGTGTGTGCAGAGGGTGGAGCAGTGGTAAGCTTACCTTCTCCTGGAGACTTACCCTTATAAATAAATAATGAGATGTTTCTGTGCAATGCCTTCAGCAAAGCAGGGGGTGGAGGGGTATTCCTTCTAGATGTTAAGTATAAAAATCTAAATGAACAGTTCAGAACCTATCATAGTTTCTGAAAAACACAGGGAAACAGACAAAGTGACTTCTAATATATTTCCACACTGTGTACTTGAAATAAAACGCTTCTCTTAAAAATATTAAAGATGTCTCTTATGAAATGATGTTCCACTCCATCATCACCCATCATCAAAAAGCTGTACTGTTTAGTGATGTCAACAAGAGTGATCAAAACCAATGGTATACAGGGATACATCATTAAAATGTATCATTTTCCTCTTGCTTCGGTTAATTTATATTAACCTTACATATATTAAGCCAAGATACTAAATCAAAGAGCTCCCTGAAATTGTGGCCAGTAGCCTCCTGAGCTGGTCCTTTTCTGGACTGGAGATAAGGAATCCTGTCTCCTGCAAGGGTAGAAAATGTTTTGTGGTTACCACTAGAGGGCAAATAGCCTCTTGGACTTCACTTTGACCAAAGGATATCTCTGCCCAGCTAGCCAGTTTCCAGGTCTCAGGTAACGTGCTTTTAAATCTTGCATTACCAACTCTTGATCAACCCACAGGCTTAGCAAGTAAGAGCTTTGTTTGTGCTAAGGCAACATCTAAATGCACCCCTGCTTCCCTCCCCTTTCAGAAGATAGATCTCTTTGCTGAATATATGGACTGCAGAGCTCCTCCACCCAATCCAATCCTCTCTCCTCCAGCAATTGAGCCCTGGATCTGCACTGCTTAACATCACCACTCTCAGACCTTATAGACCTTATAGCAACACACAAATGCCTTCCTTCTTGCTTCATTTCTGAATACCTTCCAGGGCTTTCTGCCACTCCCAGCTCAGAAGTCCAGGCTGTTCCTTAAGCACACTGTTATTTCATGTGTTCCATCTTTACTCAGGCTGTGACTGCTCTCTCAAATTGAAAATTCAGTTCAGATATTGCCTATGAAAAGCCTAGTCTCTGCTGGTCCCTCTTCCCGCTCCCTTCCTTTTCCAAAGCAGTACATTTAGTTCCCATGCCTTCACCGTCCTCTATGCCAACTCTGCCCTTGTCATTCATTTGAACCAGCAGAATATGAACATTCGCTGTATTTTGAATTGCATGCCCAACTACTCTATCGCTTCATTGCTACAGAACCATGGAGAATCCGGCAAGAGTTCTAGAAGCAGAATGGAATACAGATGACCCTCTCCTCCCCGGAAGCAGTGAACGGAAACTATGGGCTTTGAAAATAGTCTTTCTGCCTGTCAGAAAGGAGGTAGGAGATTTCTTTTAATAAAAATGTGGGTTTTGTTTCTGGCTAAAAAAAATAAAGCATTTGGGGTTGGGCAGTGGTTGCCTATGCCTTTAATCCCAGCACTCAGGAGGCAGAGACAGGCAAATCTCTGAGTTGGGGGCCAGCCTGATTTACAGAGCAAGTTCCAGGACAGCCAGGGCTACACAGAGAAACTCTGTCTCGAAAATCCAACCAAACAAACAAACCAAAGCACTTGGGAATTTTGATCCAAAGGAGATGTTTGAAAGTTGTGTATGCCTTTTGAAGGGGAAAGCATGGCTCAGAGATGGGTAAGTGGTACTGAGTGGCAGCTGCCAGGCGGGGAGCCTTGGAGAAAAGCCATGACGCAGGCACTGTGGGAGGTGGCCTCACTGGAGGGGCTCTCCACTAGAGTGGCTCTTATTGTTTGAGCTCATGTTTTGCATTTTTCATTTCCAGCTTATAGTACCATTCTGGTAGGTTCTGGAAACCTTATAAGGTGGGTCTACCAAACTCGAGGAAGTAAGTCACCAGGAACACATCCTAGAGAGTTTCTGGCCCTTACCCCCTCCTCTTCCTCTTCTGCTTCCTATTATGGGAACGTGAACAACAGTACTCCTGCCACCATGATATTCTTCCTGCATACACTGGGGCCAAGGCCATGGATAATACCCTCAAAACTACAAGACAAAATCAATTGTTTCTCTTTCATGTTCTCTCAGACACTGTAGTTACAGCAACGAGCTGTCTAATAAAGTGGGAATTCTGCCTCCACTAGAAGAATAACCACCAAATAGAGTTCAAGGCCCATGATCAAGTGCTTTATTCCTTTTTTTCAGGGAAAACCAAACTCTTCAATACTGCCAAGGGAAATCTGGAGAAACTCATTAAATAAGAGGAATATTAGCCGGGCGGTGGTGGCGCACGCCTTTAATCCCAGCACTCGGGAGGCAGAGCCAGGTGGATCGCTGTGAGTTCGAGGCCAGCCTGGGCTACCAAGTGAGTTCCAGGAAAGGTGCAAAGCTACACAGAGAAACCCTGTCTCGAAAAAACCAAAAAAAAAAAAAAACCAAAAAAAAAAAAAAAGAGGAATATTAAGGAGAGATGAAGACTCAACTGTCATGTGGTCTTCTAGACGGGACTCTGGGACAGAACAAGGACATTAGGGGAAAACTAGGGAATCTAAATGAGGCAGATACCTCACTCACCAATACTGCTAGTTCATTAATGCTAATTACATATGCCACACTAAAGAAAGATGTGGGCAATCAGGGCAAAGTAGGAAGAGAGTGCATGGGATCTCTATCTTCCCAACATCTCTGTAAACTGAAAACTGTTCTTAAAGTTTTTCTTAAAAAGAGGAAGGTGAGAAGAGGGTAAGCATGAAGGAGAGAAGAAAAAAAGAGAACAAAAAGAATAAGAAAGACATGGAGCAGCCTAGAAGACATCTCCTTCAAAGTCTTCAGGGTGCTGAAAGGGCTCAGGACACCTGAACCTAAAACCTGCTTAAGCTTAGGAATTGATGCACCCTCATGAGCTCAGTGGCCCAAGCACAAAGCCTAGCTTTAAACAGTGGTCCATGCATAGTTGTTGGATTAAAATGTATTTTCAGGAAGGAAAGAAATCAAGAGGCAGTAAAAGAATGATTTCTGGGACTAAAAATCAAAACTGCAAAATATACTTAGTTCGTTTAAAAAACACTTTTTGTAGGGATTTCCAGTTCCATAGAGCTTGTTTCAGCATTTAAAAATAGTTTTATGGGCTGGGGAGCTAGCTGACTTGGTAAAATGTTCACCCTACCAGCATGAGGACCTGAATTCAATCCCCAGAACCCATGTAGAAATGCCAGGCACAGTGGTGTGCACTTATAATCCCAGTACTAAGGAGGCAGAGGCAGGAATTCCTGGGGCTCACTGGCCAGCCAGCCTATCCTAATTGGTGAGCTCCCAGGCAATGAGAGACTCTGTCTTAAAGGGAGTACATTATAATCTGAAAATAACATAGGAGGTTGTCCTCTGGCCTCCGTATGCAAACACACACATACACATGTACACAGACATGTGAACCCACATTTACCCAAACATGAACACACACTCACACATTAAAAAAAAAAAAAAGAATGTGGTATGACAAAACTTTAACCTTAATGCAGAAAATATCACTTAACTCCACCAGGATCATTTTTTCCCCTGAAGCAAACCCAGAAGAAAAGCACCCTTGTAAAAAATAATTGTTAAAATCAAGGCAGAAAACACACAGAGATCAAGTATGTATGATATGAATAGTTGTAAGCAAAGAACAAAGGCTCAATTTTTTCTCATATAACAAAAAGTAAACATATTAGATTTTTTTGTGGCTACTCTATTTGAAGAACATAAACTAAAAAAGTTGCAAGTGCTCATGTATTTTGACTGTAAAAATTGTTGAATGTTCATCTCATGAAAGTCACTTGGCCAATGGCAGTATAAACAGCATCTCACCTGCTAGGGGTATTTCAGAGTCATTTATAATCTAGACACTGCAATTTTCAGTTTTCATATTTATCTTCAACATGGTAAAGTCTTGTAAAGATTTAGACTTTTAAAAAGAAACTGTAGACGAGAGGAAAGATGACTGCCATGTTTAAGCAGAGCTTGCTATCTGACTGTATGTGTGTGCATTTTTTAATGATTCATCAGATATTTTAATTCTGAAGGTTTATTTTGTTTCATTATTACCTTTTCTAGTTCTCTGCATTTTAGTATAATTCTAATTATAGTGTGTGTGTGTGTGTGTGTGTGTGTGTATACATATGTCTACCTTGATGTCAGTTCTCAGTGGTCTGCAGCTCACCAAGCAGGCGAGGCTGGCTGGTCATCTGGCTTCACCTTCCCGGTACTGGGATTACAACTGTGTATTCAAAGCCTGGCTTTTCACATGGGTGCCAAGGATCTGAACTCAGCCCTTCAGGCTTGTGTGACAAGCACTTTGCCAACTGAGCTCTCTCTCCAACTTTATAATGTTAATATCTTAAAAAATAACTTTAATGTCCATTCTCCCAAAACTCCATTATCTTAATCTCACTGTGAATCTGTTTCTGTTGTCTGTTTTCATTTGGTTTTTAGTCAGATCCTATCTTCTTGTTTGCATGGTTCTTTCCTACCACCAGAAATTCTATGTGGATATTGCCAAGGGAATTAGTATGGCATGGCCTCTCTGCAGACAGAATATGCACATGCTTCTGGCAGACAGTCGGGCTGAGGGTAGAGGGCCCCAGAACATCTCCATCCAGTGATTGCAGTCACTGCCTAGGGTGTGGAATAACATCTGATCTCATTCTCATTTGGGGGGAGCTCCTTACATTGCACTAGCCTCCAGTATCTGGGCTGCTCATCCCATCAGTGTCCACTGCTCTCTTAGTTTTCTTCACCTGGACTACAGCTTTCAGAATTAGCAGTCACCTTTAGGAACAAAGTGAGCCCAGATTCCAGCTTCACCCCAGCCATGGTTTGTTTCCTCTGAAACTCAGGTTGAGATTTGATTCCTAATGTCATAGTGGTAAGGGGCTGGGGGCTTTTCAAAAATTAAAGGTGTTTTTATGTGATTGGGTTTGTTAGGGAAATACTGGGCTGCTGTAAAGCACAGTTGCCTCTTGTGATTTGCCTCCTTCACATGTGACCACATGGCCTGTGTTTGATCATAAGCTCAAAGTGACATTCAGTCTTCACTGGAAGACTGACAGCTGCCAGCACGATGCTCTTAGACTTTCCAGCTTCCAGACCTTGAACTCAATTACATTTCTTTTACTATAAAGCTTCCAGTCTCAGATATTGTGGTATAGCAAGAGAAAACTAAGACAACCTGCATGGATGTTTATCAAGATCATAACTCCATTACTCTTTGCGGTCTTCTTGGCTTTGCAAACAATTTTAAATTTGGAAGCTGTTTCTGCCGCTATTATTGTTGTTGCTTAATACTTAATTTAGCTCCTCTAGCTGTTCACCATGGTCTAAAGACAGCATCTCATTGATGGAAAAGAATATGCCCACATAATATCAATTACTTTTATTTACTGTCAATAAAAAGCCATAGTAATTTGAATGACAACGAAGTCCAAGATACTTTGTGTCATAAAACTGAGATAAGCCAGACTGGCTGGAGGCTTGGCCTGTAAAGCGCTCACCTTGAAAGCATGAGGACCTGAGTTTGATGCCCCAGAACCTGCTTTTACAAAGCCAGGCATGGTGGTGTGTGCTTGTAACCACCATGCGAAGAAGGTGGAGTTCACTGGCTGACTAGTCTAGCCTATTTGTACGTTCGAGGCCTAAAGAGACCTGGTCTCAAGAAACAAGGTGAATAGTGCCTGAGAACACCTGAGGTTGACCTCTGGCTTCTACACTCTCTCTCTCTTACACACACATACACACATATATACACACAAACATACACACTCACATATACACACACATTCACACATGTGTGCACACATACATGTAGATAAACACACATACATGCACACAGAGACAGAAACACACAATTACACAAAATTAGATAACCTTCAGAACTAAAGAAATTCCTGTTTAGATACTGCAATTGGAATAAATTACATAATTTGACACCGTGAAATAAGTTTGCATTCACAAACACTTCTCTTTCAGACTCAGAAATTTTAGCAGCAGAGCAACTAAACAATTGCAATGCATATAAATCACCTAAAGACTTGCAATCTCTTTAATTGAGTGTCATTTCCTTATTCACTTAATCAAAATAATACGTGGAAGTTTGCAAAAAAATAGCCTGGCAATCACAGTTCTTCAGTTTGTTTGTTTTTTTTTTTTTGGGGGGGGGGGGTAGGGTAGGGAAGTAAACATTCTCATGCTGTCTATGACCATATCGTCACTCTGTTTCCCATTTTGGACTGTTTGAGCAGACGCCCGTGGCAGCTACTGCCCTCACTGGACGAAGATGTCAAGATGAGCACAACACAGCCCTTAACTGGAAAGAAGAAACCTCACGCCTTGAAGCAGTTGGTTTGGGTTACAATTGCTCAGTCTTATTGTTAATAATCAAAAATTTTGATTTAGTAAAAAAGAGATGTGTCAGAGAGATGATTCGGTTGTTGAGCATGCATACTGCTCTTGGAGAGGACCAGAGTTCAGTTCCCAGCACCCATGTCATCGACCTATGGCTTCCTTTAACTACCTCCAGGGCTTCTGACACCTCTCTCCTCCTTGGGCACGTACATACATTCACACAGACATAAACATATACACATAATTAAAAATAAAATAAAATCTTCTTTAAAAAGGAAAGATGTTTATTACATAAACTGCATTATAATAATCAGTTAGGCAATTGACCTCAGTCACAGTATCTCACTGTAGTTGGGAGGCAGACATGAAAACCAGTCTTACAGCCCTCCATGATATTGTAGTTGAGTTATGGGCACAGAGCTATGGGGATGAGTGGCTAGGTGTGTCTAAGCAGGAGTTGGGGAGAAGCCTCCTCAGGGGAATAAGCATTTCAGTCTACCCTTAAAAGGATTATTTAAATATTAGTAAATCAAAACATAGGAATGTATCTTTACGGGTTTTACCCTAAGCCAGTGATACCCAAATGTGTCCTCTTATCTCCCTGCCTCACAGCTGTTCTCACATGATCCATACTCATCTTTTCCAAGTGCATGTGTCGTCACTCATTTCCCATCTTCTTGGTGAATCCAGATCCCTTGGTCAACATCCAAGGCCTTCCCCACTCCAAGGCCACCCATAGTCTACTCCTGGTCCCTGCTGTGCCTCCCAGGCATGGTGTTTGCTGCAGCCAGACAGGACCCCTCCTGCTATCATCCCTTATCACAGCAACACCTGCCTCCATGACTTTGGCATCCGTGTTCTCAACCATGTATAAGAGCTCTGTGCTTTTTTTTCTTGGCAGTCAAAGAAAGCCTGAATTAGTAACTGACCCTTAAACCTGGTGATCAGGGATGGACCAGACTGTGGGGCCATAGAGCTCCTAGACCAGTGCCCAGCACGGAACTCGTTCTCAGTGTTTGGGATGAATTAATAAATAAAAGAAATATATCAAAACTTAACATGGCCACGGTTCAAGGGTAATGGAATGACCTAGAAAGAACCAAGGTACTACCTATGAATGGAGATTATCTTTTTCTCAGAATTTTATACACTCACTCTCTCTGACATGTTGCTGCCAAATCTCTCAGAGATATTGCCCGTCATTTGAGACTAGGAGCACATCACCGTTAACAGTTTTGTTGATATAAATTGGTTTGTTGGATCTTGATAATAAAGGAAAATATAAGATATTTCGACCACAGCTCTGGAAGCTTATATGTAATTATACATAGCAGAATGTAATAGTAAGTAGCTCTAGCCTTTAAAGCTCTCTTAAGGCTGAGTTTGTGTTTTCACTTACTCTTTCTGGCTATAAATCTCAGTTACTATATTGTAGGTCTTTACAGATTTACCTGTGGTTCTACTTTTTTATTAGAAACAAAATAATCTAGAAACAATTTCAAATCCTTATTTGGAGAAATGTACCAGTCCAAAAAATGTCTGACTGTGATGGTGCATGCCTATAATCTCAACAACTTTTGAAGCTGAGGCAGGAGGATTGCTGCATATTAAAGACCAGCCTGGGCTACAGAGTGTGGCTCTATCTCAAAAAAAAAAAAAAAAAAAAAATCCAGAAAGGAAGAAGAAAGAACTTCTGAGGTCTGGTTTAGCTAGCACTTGCACAATTAACCACAGTATATCATACTTATGTATAGTGTTGGCACCTGGGGAAACTGGGCAGAGAGTGAAGAAGTCTTTGTTGTCTCTTTGTAATTTCTCTGTACAACTAAAAACATTCCAAACAATAGTTATTTTCAAAGATTGTTGATAATAAGACCTATGTTTAAAGCAAATGTCACCTACGGAAAAGTCCAATTCCCTGGTGGCAGACCCACTGTATCCCACAGCTTGACATGTCCCTTAGGCAGAGAAATGCATGGTCTCCCTCACCCCTGCCCTGAGCTCCTCCTGCTCGCTTTCCTTACTGGGTTTTACGTTTATGTATATATTATAGGAGCCATTTGGGCATTGCTCTTGTGTTATGTGTGATGTCCTTACCTAGAGCTGAGAGTCTCCAGACCCCTCATTAAGCTGGAAAGCCACAGGAAAGTCATCAATAGTCCCCACAGAACAGTACTCAAAAGGACAGCAAATAACAGTGGCCTCTGATATAAATTAGCATTAATATTATAATAAAATAAGCACACAGGCTGGCACGGCAGTCAGTATCCTTCATGGGTTTTCTAAAGTATGGCCTTACAGCAAATTATCAAACTGATGAAGTAAAATATTTAAACATCCAGTGATATGAAATATCAGATCATTAGCCCAAGTGACTGCATGTCTATGCTATAGGGAATCTAAACTTTATAATAAAATCATAAAGGCTCCATTCTTCTCCAAGACCATCAACTGACACATGCGCCTTTTTTCCCTCTGGAGCCGCCAAGAAGAGCATTGTCTGTAAGAGTGTACAAAAATATTCTTGCAACTCAGATGCTGGGATCCACAGACAGGATCCAAGAGAGGAAAGACTATTGGGAACAACCCAGCAAGGAAGTGTTTTGCATGACCTCTAAAGAGTGACTAGACATAGGAACAATTAGACCCACGCCCAGTTTCCAGGTGGCTGTCAGAACTGTTTTCTGCTTATCGTTAGGGAGTGAGGGAAAAAAATTCCAGGTGACCTCCCAGACCACCTGGCGAGCAGCTGAAGGCTCCCTGGGTAAAGCAGAGGAGATGAAAGAGGGCAGTTGAGAGGAGAGGTTTTAAATTACAGATCTGGGGTCTCAGTGTGCAGGCTCAGGAATGCTTGGAGCACTGCGGAGCCACAAGACAGCTCCGCCCAGCAGACTGCCTCTACAGTGTGTCTTAATCAGAGTTCCGTGGGGTCATCCATCCGTCCATTCATCCGTTCTATTTACAAAAGAATCCAGGAACATACACAAGCAAGACAAGGTGGGAGGGCTTTTACTTGTAAAATTTAGTCTGGGGTTTTGGGTTTTGTTTTTCTGTTTCTGTTGTTGTAGATGCTGAGACAAGGTTTCAGACTGTAACCCGGACTGGATTGTTACTAGTTAGCTCAAGCTGACCTTGAACTCATATCCTCCTACACGCTGTGGCTGCCGCCATGCACCACCATGCCAGGCTGTACTTGAAGACTTGAGAGGACCCTTCTTCCACATGTTCTTCCCTGTGGGAAGCAGACACATTGGGCTAGCTGTTTCCACTCTCGGGTCACTGAAAACAGAAAGACTTGAAGAAATGCCTGGATGATGTTCCGCTGAAATTGGCAGGTTCCCATCTCCGTTTTGAATACGTCAAATTTAAAGCCTTCTTTCTGCTGCTCAGAGGCACCGAGGTAGGTCAGGTGTCTCCCATTTCTGATGGGGTCTGTCCTAGAGAGGGAGGCTTCTTCTTCTAGGCTACATCATGCCATCAGCTGACCTGACTCCTTGAATTTCCTCTCTCAGTGGCCACTCTTTCAACACTCCTTGGATGTTATTTTTCTCCCCAAAACGTATGGACAGTGAAGTAATGTAGAACTCACTCCTTGAACCCGGAGTCCTCCTCTAACTAAGGTCATTTTCTAGAACATGCTATCTAGTATTACATAGATTTAAGGGAGGAAAGGTTTGTTTTGGCTCACAGTTTGAGGGTCCAGTGTGTCATGGAGGGATGGCAGCGGGAGTGGGAGGCAGCTGGTCACACTGTGTCCACAGTCAGGAAGCTGAGAGATGAAGGCTGGAGTCACTCACTTTCTCCTTTGTGTCCAGCTGATGCCACCACCCACCTTCAAGGCTGGAATGAAGTCTCTCTGGAAATGCTCTCACAGACATGCTTCAAAGTTGGTCTCCTAGGTGATTCTGAAGTTTGTCACATTGACAACCATGATGAACCAGACATATAATTCACTTGGAGATGATGGTCCCAAGTGTGTACCTCCAGCATAAACAGTGACTTGACCTCTACACTGACATGTCCAGGTGCGTGCTCAGTAGGCGTCTTTATTTGATTCGTGCAGAACTTAATTATTCTGCCTTCAATCCTGTTTCTTTCACAGAAGTCCCCGGCAGCAAATACCAACACCAATTCCAGTGGTTAAAACATCTACAGCATCGTCTTTGATCTCTGGTTTCTTATAACCCCACAATTTCCTCCATATTCACCCCATGGCCATATCTTGAAGTGAATCCAATGACTTTTTTTCTAAATTGTTGTTATCACACACACACACACACACACACACACACACACACACACACACACGCACACACACACACGCCACATGTGCACATACACACAGAATAAAAAATAATTAGTTCCATCCCACTGTGTAGGCTCTAGCAATTGAACTCAAGTTGTCAGGCTTGGTGGAAAGCACCTTGAACATTATGAGCTGCCTCTCTAGCCGCCAATGACCTTCTGAGACCTCCGATGAATCACAATGCTAGAAATTCAATAATTACATTCTTCTTCCTACTTCTGTTCTTGTTTCCTGTGGAATGTCCATGACGAGGCATCAGAGAGTCCCCCTCTGTTCTTTCAATCTCCTCCCGACTGCCGACCCTTAGTTGAAAAATGAGCCTGAAAGTGATGTAAGCAAATTCAAATGCCACCTAATCTGTTCAAAAATATGACCCATTATCAACAAGTTAATTAATTCTCTGGGGTCATTAACTATCAGAAGCAGGCAGAACCTCACAAATCAGTTAGTTCTAAGGTTCCGTTTGTCACCCTGTCCCTGACAAGAACGCGCAAGCAGAGACACAGGAAATGCCACTGTGGGCAGATGAGGACTCCACTCCTGCTACTTCCCCAGAACTAGGATTTGCAAATTTTCTCTTTCCCCAGAAAAATCTTTCAGATTATAGGTCACATTTTCTCCCAAGTCAGTTTGTTTCATCTTTGGATAGCTTATTAATTATAGAAGTTACGTGATTCGCCTTCATGAAAGGATGTGTTATTTATAACCTAGTTTTAAAATGAAGTGTGACAGACAACATGTTGTTCCCAACTTACCATTCTGTTGAATTTTAAGGTCTCTTAAGGGGTGAGTTCACATTCTCACCAAAGTCCATGAAGAGTTTTTATCATCAGAACCACAGTGCTACCCTCGTTGTGGCTGGCTCGGATCGGCCACCATGCCATGGCTACTGCAGTGGTCACACTGTCCCAGGAGTTTCCCAAAGAGAAACATAGCTGGGAAAATCTCCTTCCCCTTCTAAGAGACTATATTTGGAGGGCCAGTTTACCCTGCTGTCATAAGCATTTCAATATTTATTTTTAAAATAATGTCTAACTTGAGGACTGAAAAGATGGCTTACCAGTTAAGAGCACTCTTGCAGAGGACATGGGTTTTGATCCTAGCACCAACATGGTGGCTCACAACAATCTGACTCCAGCTTTAGGGAATCTGAAACTCTCTTCTACGGTGGTATTTTATTTGTACTGAAATGTGATTTTAATTGTATGTTAATAAATAAAGTTGCCCGGGGGTCAGAGCTAATAGCAAGCCATAGCAGAGCTGGGCGTTTGTGGCGCATGCCTTTAATCCCAGTACTTGGTAGGCAGAGCTAGGTAGATCTCTGTGTGTTCAAGGATACAGCCAGCATTGGAGACACACGCTCCAATGTATCTGGAGGTCTGCACAGACAGGCAGTGACGAGGCAGTCACGTGGTTGGTTTTACAACCAATGAGAAGGCAGAACAGAAAGTTTATATAAAGACAGACAGGAAGTAGGTCTCTTTCGGAGAGGTCTCTTGGCTTAAGAGGCTAGCTGCCCCAGGCGGGTAAGGCTCTTAGCTCTGATCTCTTGGCTTTCTTCTTTGCATTGGTTCTGTGTTTCTTATTTAATAAGATGGTTGGTTACATCTACACTCTTCTAGCAGTTGTGGGCACTGTGTGCACATGGGGGCCATTTGTTCATGTAGGCAAAATACCAACACACATGAACAAATCTTTTAAAAATTGCCAGCTTGAGGTTGTCTGAAAATATAGCATGCACGTGCATATTCCCATTAAAATGATAAGAAGTTATATTTACAAGAAGGTGAATACATACATATGTGTGTATGCAGATATATATGTATATATAGAGAGATATAGATATATATACACACACACATATATAATTGTAGATTAGATGGTTAATCCCTCTGCCTGTGACTGACTTCTTGTACTTTCCAATACTTCCTTTACTGATGGTAAGATGGTAACTGATTTTACTCAGTCTTTGTTCTGAGATAATCTGTCTAAATTGTTGTTTGTATCATATCTATATGTAAAGCTTCTTTCTAGTGATAATGACATAGTCAGTCAGTATTCAATAAATAA